GAGCTCTACTAAATACACATAGTGATGTAGGGTATCATAGAGTCGGCCGCTCCCAACTTTTATTACTGGTTTAATTCGCAACGGTATAAATTATATATAAATTTTAGGGTCTTTCGATATTCGTAAGAGTTACACTAAATGTTTTTGAATTTACGAAAATTCATAACACAGATGTTTTGAATATAAATATTTTTTTTTAATTCATCGTCTATTTGAGTCAAAATCTTATCAGATATAATAACTCGATATTTTTATATTATCCCCGATGAGGGAGTGTTTATAATTTGTTTTGGCAACTCTGCCAATTATCTATGCCTTGGAAAGAAATACACAGTCCAACTACGACGATTCACCACACTACATCTATGTATGTAGTACATACACACATTCCGACGCGCACATCTGTTGCTACAAAATAAATATACAACAACTTTTAATAAGTACGACAAACCACTCTTTTCTGTACAGTGTGCACACAATTATAAAACAGTTAGTAATCAGACAAATACTATTTTTTTAACAAATAAAATAGAGAATACAAAACATAATTTTTAAACCGATAAATGTTTATACATACTTGAAGAAAAGAACAAGAAATCTCGGATTTTTCAAAATACTCAACAAGAGACAAACACAAGCAGCTCTCACGAACTCTTTTTTAGAACTAATGTGACCCGAGAGAAATATGGTGTGTGCACATCGCAAACAAACCGGTCTGTTCAGCTACGAACATGGTGTGCAGCTGCTCATTTGTTCGAAGTGGTTCACAAATACAACCAGTTGTTGATAATTAACTTTTTATTTAGCTGCACATCACAGAGTTTTGAAGTGCAAAATATTATAGAATTTTTGCAAGCATTCGGAAGTGAGTTTCTAAGTTTGCTTTGGGGATAAAAAGAAGATATTTGGTGCCTCATAGGAATGCTTAACATGTTTATTATTATTTTATTTTTTTTTTTTTTTTGCTTTACTAACAATTTTGTATTTTGGTTTCTTTAAAGGTAGACAACCCTCCAAACGAAGGAATTTAATACAGGGTGGTCCAGATAGACCGAAGTGGTGTGAATTCCTCATAACTTTTTTTCTCTTCAGTATTTTGCAAAGAAGACTTGGACAATTTATAATGGAGCAATACACAACTGAACATAGTGCCAAATCGTTCTTTTGACTCGGCGGGCATACCGTCGTCAATTTCGTGCAACGTGTATGCCGCCGTCAATGTACGGTCAACAAAAACAGTCTGGTTTCAGAAACATCAAGCAGGAGAAGTTCGCCACAACTTGGCCTTTCAAGAGGGTCGCTGCAGAGAATTTTGCATACCATAAGAATGTTTCCATACGAAATTCAACTTGTCCCAGAATTGAAGCCGATACCAGCAACGATTTGACTGTGGCTCTTTTCAGCCACATCAACAAGAATCTGTCTGTCAGATAAAGATGTTGAAGATTGTGGGTGAGGTACCAGAGCCGTTCGCAGATATATATCATCTTCACAAGAGATCTTGTGTTAGAAAATATGTTTTTATACCCTACAACACTATGTGTTGGGGGTATTATAAGTTTGATTGGGCCAAAAATTATGTAACACCTCGAAATATTGGTTTCCCATATAGGAAAGTATATATGGATCTTTCTAGCTCGCCGAGCTGAGTCGATCTAGCTATGTATGTCCGTCCGTCCGTCTGTCCATGTTATTTTGTAATCACTCTACAGGTCGCAATTATGGCCGATCTTCACGAAATTTAGAATTTAGGTGGGGTTAAGTTCAGAATAGAACCCTATTTCTTTTGGAGATGATCGCATAATACTTAGGGGTTGAAATGGAGCAAAAACTGAAAAATTTCATGATTTTGCAGTTGCTCTACAGGTCACACTTATAGACCAATCGAAGCGAAAGTTAGCATGGAGCTAGAGCTTTGGGCTGGGCAGAAGCCTTCCAATTTTGATCATCGGGAAATATTTAGTGGTTGAAATAGACCATAGCATTTGTCATAAATAAAAGTCAAATTTTCCATTAAACCGCGAATATTTTTAATGCCGGCGAAATCACAAATAGACGAACAGGTAAATTCTGACCGTTACGTAGATGCCGATAGTAAAAATATCTAATATATATAGCGAAATATATACAATGTACACATACAAAGGAAGGGTATGTTCGTAAGAATGCTTATATCTCCAGAATGGCTGGAGCGATTTTTACCAATTTTGTCAATTTAGAATGCCTTTTTGGCATAAAAGTATAAAATCTAAAAAATCGCATAAAAAGATGCCAATAATGATGTTCATTAAGATTTTGTAGCATTTTGTAACATATTTTTATTTTTTCATTTTTTTTATCGCATGCGATTTTTATATACTTATATATTGAAGTTATTTTATACTTATGTATTGAAGTGTATATTTTGTAATATTTTTTCACTTTATAACACAGGTTTGGGTTATTATTTATATACATAATTGCAATAATTATCGTTCGATCCCCACGAAATTTTTTACGAAGGTAGAGTTAGGCTCAGAAGGACTAAGCCTATTGTTTTCAAAGATGTGCGCAAAATATATTTAGGGGTTGAAATGAACCAACAACGAAAAATTTTCCTGATTTTGCAGCCGAAATAGAAACCAAATGACACTAAATCTCGCATGAAGTTAGAGTTTAGGACAGCGGGTAGAATGGACCACTACTTTTGTGTGAAAAAATACCAAATGAACCAAAAACAGAAAAATATTCCTGATCACACAATTGAAGCCTATCGACACGCCCGAGAAGAGAGTTAAGGACAGGGAAGAAGTCCTAGCATTTTAGATGCCAATGGGTTATATTTAGCTGTAAATTGACCACAACAACTAACAGCACGACGGAGTGCACAAATGTTGGGAATATGACCCTGTGTTCTATGACATAATTTCAAAAGCGAAATAGATTTGGACATAAGGGGGCTTCTAATATATTTTAGTGTTGTAGGGTATCACATGGTCGGCCCCGCACGACTATAGCCTTTGCTTACTTGTTATGTGTGAAATTTGAAGACAGTTGGATGCTTATTTCGCTTTCTTTGGGCGTTATGTTTTTCAAAATATTGAACCCTATGTGGGGGAGGTACCAGAAGGAATGGTCCCGTCATTATAACGGATCTTGTGTTGATATAAATATTGAGATGTGCCAATTTCGGGTTTTATGAGCTTCATTGATACTAAAAATGTTTACCCTTTGTAGGGGAGGTACCAGAAGGAGTGTACCGGTATATCCAATCTTCACAGCAGATCTTGTGTTAGTGGAAATAATGGAATGTGAGAAATATAAAGGGAACCGGATGCTTATTTCGAATTTTGGTTATTTAAAACCAGACCTAGCACTGACGCAAATATTAGGATTTGCAAAGTTGGAGTAAAATCGAATTAACCTTTCTCGTTCTTTGCAGTAAAATATTTTTTGCTCTTTTTTTTAAATTTTCGACCATTATTGGGGGAGGTACCAGAAAGAGAGGACCGATATATTCCATCTTCACACCAACCTCGTGCTAATAAAAATATGGTGATACGTGTAATTAGTTAATCGGACTCTTATACCATATTTTATAAGTTATAATTATTCAAAAATTTGACCCTTTGTGGGAGAGGTACTCAATAGAGTGGACCGATACTGTTAATTTCGCACCTGCCCTAGCACTGATGCAAGTATATGGATTTGCAAAGTTGGAGCAAAATCGAATTATCCCTTCTCTTTCTTTGCTGTAAAGTTTTTAATGTTTTTTTTTTTTTTTTTTTTGAAATTTTCGACCTTTATTGGGGTAGGTAACGGAAGGAGTGGACCGATATAGACCATCTTTATACCAGACCTTGAGTTAACAAAAATATTGTGATGTGTGTAATTTGAAGAAAATTGGATCCTTACATCACATTATTTAAGATTTATAATTATTCAAAATGTTGACCCTTTGTGGGGAAGGAACTTGATGGAGTTTTCCGACACGGTTCATTTTCGCACCTGACCTAGCACTGATGTAAATATTAGGATTTTCAAAGTTGGAGTAAAATCGGATTATCCTTTCTTTTTTTGTGCAGTAAAATATATATATATTTTTAAAATTTAACCTTTTGTTGTGGAGTGAAGGAGTGGCCGATATTGCCCATCTCCGAACTCGATCTGAGTTTGATAACAATATGACGATGTACCAAGTTTGGACCAAATCGGATACTCCCTTCGAAAGTTATCGTACACACAAGTCAGACGGACGGACGGGCATCGCTTGATCGACTCCAAATGTCCTGAAACGGATTTGGTCCAAAGAGACCTAGGATATTAAACCTTTATTTCGATGAGGTACATTTTGGCTGTATCAAATGATATATACCCTCTCTAGCCATATGACTGTGGGCATAACAAGTATAAAAGAAGTAAGTTCGATAATGTCCAACTTTTTAATAGCCTTCACCAATTGGAAAAAATTGGGAAATTGTCAAAAAATAATTTGAAAATCATCAAAATACCGAATACAGGGAGCTGCAGTTATATGGAGTATATGCAAAGACCTGAACCTGCATAGACAATTTTCTGTCACAGGCTGTAGAACCTACTAGGAACTGCAAATACGAAATTTGATACAAGTCCGGTGAATGATGTCGTTAAAATCATCAAAATACCGAATATCGGGATGTAAATATGGGGGGACGTTATATGGGGAGATACGAAGACCTGGACCTGCATAGGTAATACTCTATCTTGATTAGCATCAAATTAAATCGACATAGAATTTTATGCTTATCAATAGTATATTTACTTTGTAGGGTCCAAGATGTATATTTCGAGGTGTTACAAGCGGAAGGACAATCTTTATATATCCCCCCTGCTGGGGTAAAAAACATTGAAATTTTTTTGAGAAACTTTTCAAATTTCTTATTAAAAACTAGCTTAAATATATAAATAATGCTATGCTTATTTCTATAAATTCTCCCAATAAAATGTAATAGAATCAACATCATCAGTCTCTCTCTTTATGGTGTATCCCTGGTCGGACCTCTTCTTTTCCGGCGATTTTCAAATGCGACCGGATGATATTTCCTTACATGGTGATACAACCCGGTGCGATAGGTAAAAGCCTTCGGACACAATTTACACTGTTTAAAATAGAGCGGCGGATTGCTGCCATTGTCTGAATGATAGAGTCTTGAGTGTTTGAACAGGGCCGTTTGTCGTTTAAAAGACTTATTACAGAACTGGCAGTGAAATGTTTGCTCGTCTGTGTGAAGCGAAGAATGTTCCAGCAGAGTTGCCTCGTCGCCACAATTAAATCCACATTGGGGACACTTGAATGGCGAATCATCGTTGTCCGACGGGCATAACTTTGCACCGGGATGCAATTGGCCAATGTGGGCAATTAAAGTAAATCTTGTTGTGAAACATTTGCCACACAACTGACACTTGAACGCCTTCGGGTTCATGTGAATTATGGCATGCTCTTCGACTCGAAAACGATATTTAAGTTTGCGTCCGCAACACAGCACGTAGAACTCCTGATTGGGATGCTGGGCAAGGAAATGCGTTTTTAGTTGTGTAAATGTGGGAAACGATTCGGGGCAACCTTCGCACTTCAAGAGTGGTCTCCATTTGGCAATAATCTCATCGATCTCCTTTGGCGATTTTCGGTTCTTTCTGCTAGCTGGATAAATCATTTCGCTAGCCGCATTCGATGAATATTGTGCACTGCTCACTTCCAGCAAATCGCCATTTGAACTGCTTGAGACTTCAATGTCATCATTTAGCTCATCGACAATAAAAATATCGCCTTCCTGGTCGGAAAACTCTTCATCGATGTGCATTGCGTTCCCAATTTGGAAAGGTGGCATCCGCTCATCATACGTAGAAGGCAGTATGATTTCAGGTTGGGCCCTTGGGGTAGCATTCGAATTTAGTTGGAATTCCACTGTGTGATCTGTCACGGTCAATTGGCCGCTGCTACTTGTCGTTGGCACCTCTTTACAATCTTCGGCGTCATCATCAGGTATTACAATTGTGTCCGATTCATCTTTAATTTGTAATTCCAAATCGGCTGTAATGTCTAGTTGCTCCCCACCATCTTTCGATGTCCCTCCCTCAGGCTGTAACTGACTTCGGGATATAGCACTCTCTGCGGCCGTATGTAGATTGGCGTGCAGTAGAAGAACCGTCTGTTGGAAATTATTGAAACCAGATATGTGATGCCAACATTGCATACACAAAACACCAATGACTTTTGTGGTCTCCTTGTCGATTTCCAAAAACTAGAAAAAAGAAATTGAAATATCATTGTAACAGCAAAAAAAGTTAATTTAAGTGCAATTACCATTGGATGAAAGAATTTGACAGTAATGCTGTATATTTCATTTGTCTTGCCACTCGCATCGCACAACCGAATACATTCACTGCAGGGAGTACGACATAGACGGCATGTATTCGTGCCGGCCATTATCAAAATTCTGAAATGATAAATAATGTATAATAATATTATTAAAATAATTATTTTGTCAGTATATGTGCAGAAATTTTCCAAACAATATTTTTTTTGGCGCAAGCACAAACCCTTTTAAAATTGGTGAGAATTAGTTCAAATTTAGATACAGCTCCCATATATATCATCAACCGATTTCGGGTTAATTGTGCACCAACTGGCCAATATCCTAACCAGAATTTTGGCACATCCGACCATTTTCCTTTAGAAGCAAGTACATTAAATCTGATGAAAATCGGTTAAGGTATAACTATAGCTTCCGCAGTCGGAGCGCTAAAAAATCGTAGTGAACCGGAGTCGGAGCACTAAAAACGCAGTGTTCCGCAATCGGAGTATTAAAAAATAGTAATGTACCAAATGCACCACATTAAAACATGTTAAAAAGCAGTAAGTTCGGTCGGGTCGAACTTTGAATACCCTCCACCATTTGCAACGAATTTGGAAATTTTCAAAAAATAAAATCCTTAAAAAATTCTGTTAAAATTTTAAAAATACCGAATATAGCCGTTATATTGGGGTCTATGCGACGACGTGGACCTGCACAGACAATTTTCTGTCTTAGGTTGTAGTATCCATTTCGAACTTCAAATACCAAATTTGAAACAATTCCGGTGAATAATGTCGCTAAAATCATCAAAAATACCGAATATCGGGAGGTACCGTTATATGGGGGCTATATCAAAACGTGGACCTACAAGGCCCATTTACGAACTTAACCTGCCTACTGGAAAAATAAACATGTGTGCGAAATTTTAGCCATCTATCATAATTCATTCGAAAGATAGCGTGACTACAACATACAGACAGACGGACATCGCTAAATCAACTTAGAATTTTACGCTGATCAAGAATATATATACTTTGTTGGGTCTGACATGAGTATTTCGAGGAGTTTCAAACGGAATGACAAAAATAATATACCCTCCATAGTATGGTGGAGGGTATAAAAATCGAAATCATAAAACTGATTTTAAACACTCAGCCATTCTTTGTAAAATACAGGGTTGCCCATATTCGACGGACCCATTTGGCAACGCCATAACTTTTGACAGAGATGACACATCGCTTAATGACATACCGCGTTTGAAGAAGCAGATTTTTACTATGAACCAATACACGCCACGCGAACGCTCTGAAATAGTTGAAATTTACATTCAACAGAAGAAGTCAATTGTGAAAAAAAAATGTGAGAAGTGCGCCTTCTAAGAACATCATTAAGCCTTTATACGAAAATTTTTCGACTGGTAAGGCTCTTTCTAATCCAAAGTCGACCAAGGCGATCGGCCGAAAATATCGCTGCCGTACGAGCAAGTGTTGAGAGGTCCCCAAGAACATCCCAAAAACGTCGTTATCAGCAGTTGGGCATGGCTCGGTCCACTTTACAACGGATTATTCGCATTGATTTGCATTTGTTCCCGTACAAAATTCAATTGACGCAAAGAATGTTGCCCAAAGGTCCGTCGAATATGCGCAACCCTGTATTTAGTTTTTTTACACCTACATTGATTGATTTGTTTTTCAATTTTCACTGGTTAAATACAAATCATTATAACTTCAGATTTGGTCCTTTTTTATTCTTTCTACCTATTCCCATATTTTTCTACGTTCTTCAATTTCGCAACCAATCTAAACATACATAAAATAAATGCAGCTTTTATTTACATAATATTGAATTGTATTAGTAATTTTTGCATCACCAACCAGTAAAGAAAGTCTTAAAGTCGGGCGGGGCCGACTTTATGATACCCTACACCACTTTGCTAATTTAGTAGAGCTCCGCATAAAATTGCAAGTTTTTATGGGATAATTCAAACATACACGCTATGATTATAATTATAATTTAAAGTTCAAAGGACTAATGCCGATGCATTTGTGTCTTTTAAATTCGGACATGTATTGTTCATTTGGTGCACAATTAATTTGAAATCGGATAAATATATATATGGGAGCTATATCCACATCGGAACCGATCTCGATAAAATTTGGCAAAGATTTTTCTGAGCTCCTTTTGATATATTTCCCTGAATATCGTTGTTACGGAGTGCATATTACGGCTGTGGGTAACAAATACAAGAAATCGGATGAACAGTATATATGGGAGCTATATTCACCAAATTTGACATACTAGCTTCTAAACTCAATTCGGTCGTAAGTGCCAAATTTCATCCCATTTGGGCAAATATTAGACGTTTGGTGCACAATAAAAGCTAAATCGGACAAAGTTATATATGGGAGCTATATCCAAATCTGAACAATCTGAAAAATTTAGCAAATGTATTTCTGAGTTGTATTTGATATATTTTCCCAAATATTGTTGTTACAGAGTGCATATTACGGCTGCGGAGGGCAAAAATAACAAATCGGATGAACAATATATATGGGAGCTATAGCTATATCTGAACCGATTTCGATCAAATTTGGCATAGTTATTTTCAGGCCTAATTTGGTTGTATGTGCAAAATCCATACTATTCGAGCTGAGATTACACGTTTGGTGCACAATAAAAGGCAAATCGGACGAAGATATATATGGGAGCTATATTTAAATTTAGACCGATTATCTCCAATTTCAATAGGGTTCGTCCATGGGCCAAACAAATGATTTGTGCAAAATTTCATCTTTGTTTACAAAAATACATGGACAGACGGACGGACGGACGTGCATAAATCGACTCAGAATGTTATTCTATGCAGATCATCAAAAGGAACTATGGGTCTAGCTCTTTTCCTGTTACCCGTTACAAACAAATGCATAAAGACATAATACCCTGACCACCTTGTGGTGTAGGGTATAAAAACATCAAACATCTAATTTTCTCACATATCGTAAACAACACATATGTGGTACACTACCGGTACATTATTTTTTAATGTTCCGCCATGTGGTACACTACGATTTTGTAGTGCTACGACTGCGGAACATTACGATTTCGTAGTTCTCCGACTGCGGAGCACTACTTTTTTTAGTGCTCCAACTGCGGTACAGTACGATTCTCGTTGTGCTACAGCATCAGTAAAATATTTTTTAAGGGTTGTGCTCCGATACGGTACATTATCTTAGTGTACCACTCTGCCTCGGAACGGTAGAGAACACTACGATACAGTACCATACTGTTTATTTTCGAACGCTGTTCAGAATTGGATATGTCTCTCGTATATTAGTTCCGAAAGCAGATTATAACTGCTCTAATGCCATGACACTCGTTCAAATAAGGTTATTAGTTGATGTGGTCTTTACATAAATTCCCAATATAAACTCTTTTGTTGCGGGACCTTTACTAAATATGCATAGTAGTAGCCTTTTGACTTTTTTTACTGGTTTATCAATACAACGATAATTTACTATAAATGGTCTTGTAAACTATAAAAGAGAGCAACACAAAACTTAACTAACGATAAAATTCAGTTTTTCGAGGAATTTTTGGAACAATAAATACAAAATTTGTTTTGTGTGAAGTATTTTGAAATGCGTAGTAATTTTAATTTCTGTTGTAATATTGGGTCTAATTTACATTAATATGAACATTTTTCGAATTATATTTTGACTAAAAATATCCAGAATTAATATAATGTGAAGATCCATACAATTTTATGCTATAAGTTGTGAAATCTTAAGAAACAAATTGAAAAATATAATTTTTTTAATGTACGTAAAGTAATATGTAATACCAAATTAAATACTTTTCGTTCACGTAAGTATTTATTTCCAAAAACCACTTGAGATCTCAACCCTACACACCGATACCGACCATAATTCAAATTTTACCATACCATTTAGTACCGTTCGTACATCTACGGTGTGTATTTCCGAAATCACCTCCATATCTCAACACTACACAACAATTTTCTCCCCAACACCAAAATTCTGAAATTGAGCTCTATCCCTACAATCAACACTAAATGTATGCATTTTTATTACCTTTTGTACTCTTGTAGTACTTATTCCCAAAAAAAATGCCAAATTTCTGGACGCCAGCTCTAAAGGTTCACCCAAAACCAATTTTTTCTTAATTGAGAACCATTTAGTAAAACTAAGTTCGAATTTCCAAAAGTTCCTATATCCTATACTCCATGAGTAATCTTAATTCCAAATTTCAGAATTCCAGCCCCATCGGTTCATACAAATCCAAATTGTACCAAATTTTAGTACACATAAGTATGAATTTCCAAAGTTTTCTTCATACCCCCTCAAATTTCCTAAACTATCTCCATACCTGCATTATACAATCCGTTAGAAATCGTATTTCAAAATTCCATAATTAAATCTTTATCGGTTCACTTCAATTCCAATTTGTACCGAATTTAGTACCATTTACTGCACATAAGTGCTACTTTTCAAAGCTTCCTACATACCCTAATCCTACACGCCAACAGCAATCTTAACTCCAAATTTCAGGATTCAAGTTCTATCGGTTTACCAAATTTGATACGATATAGTACATATAAGTACGAATTCCCAAAACTATCTGCATCCTCAGACCTACAATGCAATAGTAATCTTATTTTCAAATTTCAACATTCCAACTCTATCGGTTTACCCTAATCGAAATTGTACCAAATTTAGTAATTTTCGTGCACATATGTACAAATTTCGAAAAATTTCTCCATATCACAAACCTACACTCCGCCATTAGTGAAAATTTCAGCTCAAAACGTTTCAAAAAATTGAAATTGTACCAAATATAGTACCTTTGGTACTTTTCGTATTCGTGAGTATACTCTCCTCCTTACAACGACCTAACTCCTCAACCTTGATTTTCATTCCAAATTTCAAGTTTTTAGCTCATTCACGTTCACATGATACGAAATGGTACCAAATGTAGTACATTTTAATGCTATTCGTACATCCTTTTATCATTTCGTTTGAAACACCTCGAAATATATATTTTAGCCCCACAAAGTCTATATATTCTTGATCAGCCTAAACTTCTATATCGATATAACGATGTCCGTCTGTCTGTCTCCCCGTCTGTGGAAATCACTCTGGCTTTCGAACAAATTGAACTAGGTTAATAACATTTTACTCAAACTAAAAACGGGCTGTATATCGGTATTTTAATGCAGGTCCACATCTTCATATATCCCCATATATCGAGAGTTCCCTTAGTGACATTATTCACCGGATTTTAAGTTTCGTATTTGAATATTGTAATGGACTTTGACAAAAATTGCCTATGCCGGAATCGATCTAGCGATGTCCGTCCGTCTGTCTGGTAAGATTTTATTATTCTTTTTTAAATGATAATTTTTTTTAAGAAAATAAAATTTAAAACTATTTTTTTTATTTTTTTATATCTTTATTATTGAAAAACAAGAACTATAGAAGTTCAGAATTTATTAAAAAAAGTTAGAAATCAAAAAATATTTTAAGTCGAAATTATAAGCGGACTAACCTAAAGCACCCCCATTTTAAGATGCAAAAAAAAAAAAACGACTGAAATCATTATTTCGTTGAGAATCCTTTATTCTGGATGACACACGCACATCTTTTAGGCATAGAGTTTATTAAATTATTAATTGTATCCGGAGATATGGCTTCCCAGGCTATTTTTGCGGCTTCAAATAAATTTTCTTTCGTTTTGCAATTTTCTCGGTTGATTTTTGAGTTAACGATCTCCCATAAGTTCTCGATTGGGTTAAGATCGGGGGACTGGCCAGGCCAAGGGAGAACTTTTAACAAATTGTTCTGAAACCACTTTTTAACCACTTTTGACGTGTGCTTGGGGTCGTTATCTTGCTGGAATATCCACTGTAGTGGCATCTCTTCTTCAGTATAAGGCAACATCACGTCTTTTAATATGTCACGATACATGAAACGATCCATAATTCCATCAATCTTATGAATTGGCCCAATCCCTTGCCCAGAGAAACAACCCCAAACCATTATGTTTCCGCCTCCATGCTTTACAGTTTGCAATATTTAGGATTCAACCTTCGCCCATTTGGTCTGCGTACACGCCTTATACCATCTGAATCCTTTAAATTAAACTTAGATTCGTCAGAAAACAACACAGTCCTCCATTTTTGGACACTCCAGCTGAGATGGGACTTTGCGAATTCAAGTCTGCCTTTTCTATTTTTTGACGATATGAAAAGTTTTTTTTTGCTGGTCGTCGACTGAATAATCCGGCCTCTACCGCCCTTCTGCGACTCGTTCTTTCGCTAATGTTTAAATCTAAGCGGTTTCGTATGTGACTAGAAGATGCTGTAGGATCATTTTGGATTGTCCTTTTGATTAAGAAGTCTTCCTGTCGCGAAGTTTCACGTGGCTTTCCTCCAGAATGAGTAGGAGATGTGCGACCAGTCTGCATTTTTGGAGTGTACCGTTAACTAATACAGCAATGTCGCAGTAGCATAGTAAAATTTCCAAACACAATATTAGGCGGTGCTTTAGTTTTTATTAAATTCTGAATTCCTTAAGTTTGTGTTTTTCAATAACAAAGATATAAATAATTAAAAAAATAAAAAAAAATAATAACTTTGTTTTCTTAAAAATTGTATCATTTAAAAAATATGTACTGAGGAGGTGCTTAGGTACTGTCAACCCCTTCTGGTACCTAGCCCACTAAGGGTCACCATTTCCAATACTTATATATGTCATAACTTGCGAAACAAATCGACGATTCTTTACAACTTGCTATATCTAAACATTTCTCTTAACCGGAAATCTGATATGAATGAATGAAATTTATTGGAATTTATGATTTCGCATAAAATTGGATTTAAATGTTTGGTTTCCTTTAAATTTTGAACATGCTAATTTTTTCATCTGTATTGGATGAAGTATGAAAACGCAATACTTCAGTCCGCTATATCCGTTACCTTACGCATATTTTCACATTGTCCAATCATTTGCCCATAACTCTTATAAAGTACAGGAAGTAGTCGATATAGTCCAAATGTGTTACGTTGTAGTATTTATATCAGCCTTACGTCAGAAACGAATTGGTCAACTTCGAAACCTCCCCAATAAAGAGTCAAGAGTTTGAATAATCGTAAGTCAAGGCTGGGGGTATACAACTGTCGGCAAAACCGACTGATATTATTTGACTTGTTTAACTGTGTTTTTTGGTGTAATTCTTTATTTTAGAGGTCTTTATCTATTGAGTTCAGAAGAATATTAACTCCATTAGATTAATCCATTCAGGTACCACTCTTGGTATGTGCTTTGCGTCATTGTCATGTTGAAACTTCCAGATTATGGATATATTACGAAATTTTATTTTATAACCAACTCTGGTTAGAGTTTCTTTGATGACATGATGTTACCACCTCCAAACTTTACGACTAGTTACATTTTGTAAGTAATCTGTTTTAAATCATTAGCATCCTGAAGTTTTCGAGGTCTTTTTTTTTTGGACGGTTTAAGAAATCATTTTCATCGAATTAATATTCGCCAACATGGCAACACTAATCGAGAGCACAACGACTATTTGGTTGCACCTACTCATTAATGTCGAACTTACTTTCTTCAGGGGTATCATCTCTTAGCACAGAATAGGCATTCGAAATTTGTGTGCGAACACAAGTTACAATACGAACGATAAGCCAAAAGCAAATAATAAACACTGAACAGAACAACTTTTTGTTCATTTCTAAAAGAAATATGGGTGTAGATATCATGCGGGAATGTACAGCAACAAAGAATAACATTCCTACATCAAACAAACAGACATATTTACAAACCCTACTACGTCTCGACACACTAATTGAAACGAAGTCATCGCGCACATTAAAATGAAACTGTTGTGAGACGGATGGACGGACGAGCCGGCACACAACAAAATTAAATGCTTGTGTTCGAAAACAAAGCAGCCACATTCATTCATACTTACATTCAGATAACAAAAACTGCACCAATCTTCCGTATTTTACAAAAACAATTCTACACACAGAAGAGACACTAGCAGACTGGTTCGCTGTTGTTCGAGAACTGGTGAGTTGGCCCAGCCAACACAAAACTCTCGTGTGCACGAGCAATAAAACTTGTTTTTGTATGTGCACACGTACGTATTAAATAAGAGAGAGAAGCTTAACAGTAAGGTATGAAAAATCTATTCGAAGCTGTAATTTTGGAGTTTTGTCTTTGTCAAAATATTAATTTGAAATAGTCATATAATAACTACACAATAGCTATTTACGCTAGCCAAACAATATAAAAAACAACATAGTAATAACTAAACCAGTAAGGAAAGCTCAAAAGTCGGGCGGGGCCGACTATATGATACCCTACACCACTATGCATATTTAGTAGAGCTCTCGTAAAAAGGTTTATACAGGGCATTTCAAAGCTCTATGATATTTGGTACAAAATCAAAATCTATCTAATTTTATCGTGCATTTTACGAACTATAGCTATCTCTGAACCGGGTTTCTCCAAATTTTACGTATTAGCTTCTAGACTGAATTCGGTCTTATGTACGAAAATTCAGGTGATTTGGGCTGATATTGACCATTTAGTGCACATTTAACCCGAAATGAAGATATATATGGGAGCTATATCCAAATCTAAACCGATTTCGATAAAATTTAAAACAGCTATTCCTGTGCTCCATCTAATACCTGGTACCAAATATCACGGTAGTGGAGTGAATATCACGAATGTATGGGACTAAAACACTAAATCGGATGAAAGATATACATGGGAGCTATAGCTATATCTGAACCGATTTTCACTAAATTTGATATACTTGCTTCTAGGCTGAATTTGGTCCGATGTACTAAAATTCAGTCCATTTAGACTTATATCGGCCATTTGGTGCACAATTAACACGAAATCGGATGAAGATATATATGGGAGCTATATCCAAATCTGAACCGATTTCGATAAAATTACAAACAGCTATTTCTGGGCTGTATCTTATATCTGGTACCAAATATCATTCTTGTGGAGTGTATATTACGAATGTGAGAGGCTTAAACACAAAATCGGATAAAACATATATATGGGAGCTATAGATATATCTGAACCGATTTTCTCCAAATTTTATATACTTGCTTTTAGGCCGAACTCGGTTGGGTGTGCCAAAATTCAGGTAATTTGGACTGATAGTGGACATTTGGTGCACATTTAACCCGAAATCGAATGAAGATATATATGGGAGCTATATCTAAATTTGATCCGATTCTCACCAATAGGGTTCGTCCTTGGGCCAAAAAAATATTGTTTGGAAAATTTCATCTCAATCGGATAATAAATGCGACCTGCATTTTGTTCACAAGAATACATGGACAGACGGACGGACATACGGACTGACATGCATAAATCGACTCAGAAAGTGATTCTATGAAGGTTCTCAAAAGTAACTATGGGTCTATCTCGTTCCCTTCTCCATGTTACAAACAAATGCACAAAGACATAATACCCTTACCACTATGTGGTGTAGGGTACAAATAGTAATGAGAACAATAACTTTTACAAAAGCAACTTCAAAAGAGCATATATTGAGATGCCTAGTGTTGAACTTGACTCTATTCTATCGGATGACACAACTATTCGACCGAACGATTCCATCAAGCATTAGGAGTCGCTGATATAACTATAAATATTAGTTGAATGACAATTTTTATACCCTCAGCCATATGGCTATAGAGGGTATATTTGATCATTTGATACGTCCAAAACGAGCCTCATCGAAATAACGGTTTTAGACCCTAGGTTTTTTTTTTTTTTGACCAAATCCGTTTCAGGATCTTTGGCTGGTGCGCACGAGATCGAGTTCGCAGATGGGTAATATCGGTCACTCCTTCTGGTACTTCCCCCACAAAATCTCAATATTAAAAAAAAAAATACTGCACGAAAAAAGAAAAGATAACCCGATCCAACTTTGCATATCCTAATATTTGCATCAATGCTAGGTCAGGTGCGAAAATGGACATCTACAATCAATTTTTGAATAATTTTTTGTTTTTTGTAATTTTGCCCATACCAATATTATAAGTTTAATTAGCACAGAAATTATGTAACACCTCGAAATATCGGTTTCCCACATAGGAAAGTATATGTGGATGTTCCTGCCGAGTCGTCCGTCTGTCCATGTTAATTTGTAATCACTCCTACAGGTCGATCCTCACGAATTGGATACATGGAGGTGGGGTTATGGTAAGAAAAAAATCCTATTGCTTTGGAGATGATCACAAAATATTTAGGGGTTGAAAATATCCAAAAAAAAAAAAAAAAAAAAAATGAAAAATTTCCTGATTTTGCATTTGTTCTACAGGTTGCAATTATGGACCAATTGACGCGGAATTTAGCATGGGGTTAGAGCTTAGGGCTGGGCAGAGGTCTTCCAATTTCGATGGGTAATTTTTAGTGGGTGAAATGGTCCATTAGCATTTGTGTTAAATAAAAGTAAAATTATCCATTAAAACGCGGATATTTTTAATCCCGGTGACATCACAAACAGAATAGGTCAATTTTGACCGTTACGTAGATGCCATATAGATATATAAATATATATAAATATATATATATATATATATATTTATATATATATATATATATATATATATATATATACATATATATATATATATATATATATATATATATATATATATATATATATATATATATATATATATATATATATATATATATATATATATATATATATATATATATATATATATATATATATTGTATATTGTAGCGAAATACATACAATGTACAGGGTGAGATAAAAAAAACTGCAACAAAGTCCAACGCCATAATTTTTACATTTTTTTTTTTAATTTTATTGAAAGAAAGCAAGAAATGTCGGAAATAGCATCAAATTTTGGAATAATTAAAGATTTGTTAGAATTGGTCATCGAATTATGGTCTTCAAACGGCCAATGAAACCGTCACACGCTGCCCGAATGTTGCTCTACGGTATTATTGCCCATTTCCGTCGAAGGGAGGTGATCGACACTTTGGTATTTTTTATTTCATTTTGTAACCATTCTTGGGTGGCTCGTGGTGAGTACGACGGTGCTGAGTTCTGTTGGAATTTCCGAGGTCTGCGGCCAAAATATTTGCGTTCCCAAGGCTTTAATACACCCTCCAGTATATTTTCGCAATAATATTCGGCATTTATTTTAATACCACTGTCGGTTAATACGAGCAGAGAGCGACCATCGACTGTTATGGCATCCCACACCATCGTCATGGCCAGCGCTTAAGTTCTGGTGGCCAACCGAAGATACACATTTTAAGCAAAACACGATAATTTTGCTTGTTTACAAATTGCTGGAAAATGTTTTCTCATCGGAGAAAACTAAATTCGGCAGTTCACTACTTTCGGCCAAGCGAAGAAACTCTTTAGCTCTTTTGAGTCTATTTTCTTTCTGTTGCGGTATAGGTTTTTGCACTTTTTGGAATTTCAATGGCTTTACCCTGAGCTCATTTTTCAATATTTGCCGAATGGAAATTTACAATATGTTCTGCTAACGAGCCATTTTTCCGCCACTGCGATGCGGGTTTTGATCAAGTCGCTTCTTTACTTTTCGAACCATTTCTGCTGATGTTGCTGTTTTTTTTTTTTCGTCCATTTCCTTGACGTCGGGCTACACTCCCAGTATCACTGTAACGAGCGATGGTTCGAGACGCAAAAGATTTATTCACATTTAAATACTTGAGTGCTGTATCGATGGCCACTTGTGGTTTTCCAGCCTAATATAAAGAAAACACACTATCACGCTTAAATTCCATCACGAATAACTTTTTTTTTTGAAAATTCCCAGCAAAATGCTTTTGTACGCTTGTAAACAATATAATGAGCTGTCATTGGAATAATTTTAACAGCTGTCGTATTATGGTCCTTTACATTCGGTTGTCGAAAACTTTCCTTTATTTCATAAATTTACCACCATTTTCGAATCGATTCAGGAATTTCTTTGTCCCTCTCCATTAGGATCTGCGATCGCAACTCTTTGACTTTTACTTTTGTAATATCAAAACTTAAATCGTAAAAGCGGTAGGAAAAAGGTAAAAGAATTATCTGCAGTGGGCTTATATTTTTGTACAGTTCAAAATATAATTTATGATATATGACATAATTTTTTTTTTTGTTTTTGGGAAAATCTATGTAGATAAAGTTTATTTTGAATAAATACATATATGTAAATTAATTATATTATCGTGTTTCCCCAAGTGACTGTGCACCTCATCCAGGTTGTTGCACCCTCCACCAGCAAATAAGTACCAACCAATTTCCTATAGAAATTATTAAGAGAAATGTCTCTCTTCTCTTATATAAGTACAACTCTAAAAAATAGCTGCGTAAGATGCTCCCCGCTCGTCGCTTTGCCAAACCCTCATCAAATGAATAATATTTGCAAGTCAACTTGTTTGCCATTATAACGTAGCAGATCTTTGCACAGACGACGAGGCTGTTACACACAAATGTAAATATCGACGAATATTTTATTTTATTTGTGCACTTGTGCAAAATTGTGTTAGAGAACGTTTCAGATAGATACAACGTCATGTCAAACACAATTTCAGTGTTGCCATTTGATTGCTTTTACAAGTGTTTGCAAAAATCTAGACTCTTTCAAATATATCTTGGTCTTAATCATGGCAAAACAATAGAGGTAAACGCATTTGCTGAGTTGAATATGCCAACCCTTTTCTGAAGAACTCGACCTTGTAATTTTTCAAATACAATCAAAAATTCATCATCTAAAATATTTCCGTATGACGAGTGGCAGAATTTACAAAAATAATAAATAATCTTTTATTTTTGGAGTTTCTTGGCACATAAAAATTGTTTCTCGTTCCATATCTGAATAATGCCAAGTCTATTCATCTGTTCTTGGACTTGAACATATAAAGATAAATATCTCAAGGAAACGTTTTCGGTGATGTTAGATCTTGTGTAGGTCTCGAAGAACGTTTCATTTTAGGTCCGCCTGTAAAGATTAAATTCCAAGAATTCCCATTCCCTGCTATATGGATTCTATACCAAAACGATCACTTACGCTGTCCATTTCCTATAATGAGTT